GGATGCACAAAAAATACTTCTGTTTGTGTGTGTGTGTAGGGGGGGGGGCATTGTATCAAAGTGAAATTGGGGAGAAGTCTCTTAGATCATAACTTTCATTTAGTAGTTAGCTTAATTGCTACATTGGCTTGCTCTACATGAGTAGGTCTTAAACGCTGTCACAAAAGATTCAGCTGCAGAGCCTTTAAGAGACGACGACTGTTCCAATCAAAGACGAAAGAGGATCAGAATAGGTTCAGAAGATCTCTGCGAGGATGAAGTTGGAGGGCTGAGTAATTTTGATGGATGTATAGGCCTGAGTACAACTAAAGAAGCCACAGGAACTAAGGTAGTGAATATATCCTTATTGCTTTACATTACTAGAATCACCTATCACCTATGGTTATTATTAAACTGAATGCCTAATGGTGCTTTTCGTAAATTCTAAAATCGTCTTCATACTAATTGAAAACCTGAAACATGTCCTCCAAGCTTAGTCTTTGTTTTGTGTTGTGACCTTATCATCTCAAAATATGACAAAAAAGTAAAAATAAAGTTTCATGGATTTGACAAACTCTGAAGAATGAGAGTTAAGGATGGTTTTTTCGTTTAAATATTTTCAGGCTGCAGGTGGAAATATGGGAACCAGTGTAGATAGTATAAACCGTGAGGCCAAGGAGGCAGTGATTAGTCAAAGCATTGAAAATGAAACAGCAAGTCAACTGTCGGAGATGCGACTGATCAGTAAAGAAGAGAAGGGGCAAGGGACTCTGCTTGGCAAAACTGAAGACAGCGTTGGGGAGGAGTTCCTGTCAGTTTGGTTCAACAAGAAGGTTAAGGATCTGAGAAAAACAAAGATAAAAACAGAACCACACGAGGACAAACAATTTGAAGGCAGCGATTCAAGTTTGTGTGTGAAGCTGAGAAATGATAAACTGATGGAGAAAGAATGGGCAGCGTTTGAGAAACTGGATTGTGTTGCCGAAGAATTGGGATCAAAACCGCCTCCTAACAGACAAAAAACAGGGTGCAAGTCTAGGAGTGGAGACAAGACCACCATCATCAGTCCCTTGGCAACCAAGAATGAATCCCAGACAGCATTAGTCCCTGCCAAGAATGTTGGTTTTGCTCCACCGACAGAAAGGAAAATAGTTGATTTGCCATCCGTGAAAGAGGAAGAAATGTCGGGGGGTTTCCAGATGATAGCAGCAACGTCCAGTGGCACTCTTATAGATGTTGAAGCCAGTACTGGGAATATAGCTGAAGCAGCAGATGTCCCGCTAGAAAGAGAGCTGGAGCGTATGAAAATGAAGCAACTAATTGCCATTGCAAAGGAACACAACTTGAGAGGAAGGCACAGCCTTAAAAAGACGGAGCTGCAACAAAGATTGCTATTGTTTCTGCAAGCTAAAAGATCCAACCATATATAACACACCAATCTTTTTTTCTTGTTTTGACTAATGTGTTGTAGGCTGTAGTAAGCTGAAGAAGGTTTTGCTAGGACCTTCCATAATTAGAAATGGTTTAAGATGAAAAGTCAAAAGGAAAAATTGGCCATATACGGAGTATAACACACCAATTTTTTTATTACTAATGTGTAGGCTGCATTAACCGGTGAAGGTTTTGTTAGGTCTCCAATAAAACATCAAATAGAAATTGTTTAAGATGAAAAGTCAAAATGAAAAATTGGCATGTCATTGCATAGTCTCTTTCTCCAAGTGAAAAGACGACTACAATTTCACACTGTTTACTTGGTGGGTTCAATTTCCTATTTAAGCAAGGGAGGGTTTATATATAGGCAATGTTACTCCAAAATGAGACACTCCCTCCGTACCAATTTAAATCGCCTGTTTTGATTTTTAGGCATATTTAAGGAAAATAAAAAATAGAGTTGATTTTCCGAAATCGTCATTACTTTTTAGAAGAGGTGATGATGAATGAGAAGATAACGTGAAAAAGAGTGACTTATTTTAGGGTTAGTTTAGGTATTTTATTTTTTAAGAGTTTACGAAAACAACTAACAGGCAACTTATTTTGGGACGGAGAAAAAAGACAAACATGCAATTTAAAAAAGAAATCACCCTACATAGCACTCTAACTCACCCTAAATTACGCATCTAGCACTACTCATTGTTTTTAACAAATTTAGCACTTTTTTGGGGTCAATCCTTTCTTATCATGCCCTTTAACCTTTTCTCTTTTTCTCATTAAAAATTACGGCACTCCCTAGGCCGCACATACTCTTCTTGCGCTCGGCCGCACGTTCTCCTTCAGTCGCCCGCCATCATGCGTCCTCAGGCCTTCTCCCACGATTCCTGGGCCGATCAGCAGCGGCAATCATCAGGTTATCTCCGCTTCCTTCATCGATGTGGCTAATCATTTTCACTTCTCCTTCAATTTTTAATTTTCATTCCTTCATCCCTTTATTCGGATTTCCATGTATTTTTAGTTTTAATTATTGTGTTTTATTCGTACTGAAGATTAGGTGGTGTGAAATCAATTTTGAAATACCTANTACTCTTCTTGCGCTCGGCCGCACGTTCTCCTTCAGTCGCCCGCCATCATGCGTCCTCAGGCCTTCTCCCACGATTCCTGGGCCGATCAGCAGCGGCAATCATCAGGTTATCTCCGCTTCCTTCATCGATGTGGCTAATCATTTTCACTTCTCCTTCAATTTTTAATTTTCATTCCTTCATCCCTTTATTCGGATTTCCATGTATTTTTAGTTTTAATTATTGTGTTTTATTCGTACTGAAGATTAGGTGGTGTGAAATCAATTTTGAAATACCTAATATTTGTTCCTTTTGAAAAATTAGGTCTTTTGAAAGGCATTGTGATTTTGGCAGTGTTAAGATTATGTCCTATGGTGTGGGCAGTGTAAAGATTAAATGCCTAAATGTTGTCCTGCATTTTTAGTTTTATTTATTTTCTTAATCCTTAATATCTGAATTTGGTTCTTATCCTTAAAAAAACTTTGCATGTCAAAAAATTAAAAAATAAATTTACCTAAAATAATCCCACCTTTCATTTATTTTCCAAAAATATGTATTTTCAAAAAATCCTGTTTAGTGGCCGTTAGTTTTTTAACGGCGGCCCAAAACTTACAAACATGCAGAAAGGTGAGATTAATATGTATTTGTTTAATATTATAAAGTTTGCAATGTGACTAAAACGCCTATCATGTGTGTGTGTGTGTGTATATATATATACGATGTGTTTTTGTATTCACCACTTCCATTGAATATTTTCTCTTTTATTATTTAAAAGGAGCATCACAGATGGGTCCAAATTTGACGATATTGGTACGTGTTGATGGGACATGGGATACTCATGGAAGCTTTATATTGTGGCAGTGTATATATTGTGGCATTATATATTTCAGACATTGAATTTTTGGCAGTGCATATATTGTGGCAGTGTATTTCAGACATTGAATTTTTGGAAGTACATATTGTGGCTAACATTATGACAATGTATATATTGTGGCAGTGTAGATATATTGTGGCAGTGTATATATTATTGTGGCTGTGTATTATATTATATCTATTTTCTTAATCTCTGAGTAGTTTTTCTCTCATTTTACAACACGTTATCAACATGAATTTGCTCAAAAATCTCAGAATCCTTGTTCTTCTCAGAAGGTATATTTATTTAATTTTGTTCATAAACAAACTAAAATATTTTCTTAGAAACTATGAGAAGTATGCTCTGTGATTGCCCGAATTGTGGCAGTGTAGATATATTGTGGCAGTGTATATATTGTGGCATTGTATTTTAGACATTGAATTTTTAGGAGTGCATATATTGTGGCAGTGTATTTCAGACATTGAATTTTTGGAAGTACATATTGTGGTTAACATTATGACAGTGTATATATTGTGGCAGTGTAGATACATTGTGGCAATGTATATATTGTGACAGTGTATATATAATATAATTTTTTTTAATTAAGGGTAATATTGGGAATTCATCTCAAAAACTTATAGCACTGCTATTTTGCGTATTATAAGCCTATTAAAGTGCTATATTCGTATTTCTGGGACAGAGAGAGTACCTAATTTGTATCCCAAACATTCATAGACACACACCGTTGGGATTTTAAACAACCCCGTGCTATGTTATTTCTTTATATACTAGATTCATACCCGTGCGTTGCACGTCAAGTAATTTATTTTAAAATATATAGTATGAGAGTATAATAAAATAAATGTCTATATAATAAAATTAAATTTAGGCTTAAATATATAAAAAACTTATTCATGTTGATTTCATGGAGTTTACAAACAATACTCGAAATAAAAGAGTATATAATTAGAATTTTTTAAAAGGAAATCATTACATAAAAATATTGAAATATATATCATAATAGAAAGTAAAGTAAATATCTTAGAAAAATACCCCGCAGCAATCTTAGGCCCTGTTTGGCATCATCGTTAGAGGTTAGCGTTAGCGTTTAGAAAAGACTATCTGGCGGTAGCATTTATAGCCCGCTAGTGCATTCAGAGCTAATCTAATTCGCTAAAATTTTAACCAAAACGTTAACGCTAATTGAAAATGTTCTTCCCAAACTCATCTTTAATAGATGTCCATTAAAAATATCTTGTCTCTTTTTGACTTGATGAATATGATAAAATGTTGCAAAATATAATTAAAATACTCTCGTAGCTGTAAAAAAAATTTACTCATCTTATTATTTTCCAAAAACAAATAATGCACATATTGAGGCCATTTAGAGCATTGGCAGGGGCGAGTAAAAAAATTGCCTCGCCCTGCCACGAGAGGAGAGCCGCTTCTGGCAGCAGCGTGGAAAGAGAGAGGAGGAGTCTGCCATGCGTGTCTGCTTTGCGAGGCACCCTGCTTTACGAGGCATCCGCGAGGCAAATCCAAAGCCCTCCGCCACCGTTAGATCTGCAACCCCAGATCTGCCCCTCCGCCATCCGCGATCTCCAATTTTGTCGTGCCACGCCTGACTTGCCATTGCAAAACCATGGAATGTCAAACTCTTTGCACGCTTGATTTGATTGGTTGGAAGGTAACACGTCATCCCATGGCATTCCATTACAATACTCGTCATTGTCAATGCTCTTAGACATACATATTATTGAGAAACAAAACTATGCTAAGACGTCTCAATACTCAATTCAATGACCTACCAAATTCAGCTACTATTTCGAATGCGATATTTGCACTCTCTATCATTCAAGAAATATAAAAGAAAAAGAAAAAAAGATATGAAAATCAACTTTAAAGGTTTGGTTAGAAATGAAAAACAAAAAAATGAAGGCAAAAGAAAATGAAAAGCCGAAATAAACTAAGATGATAGATAGAAAATTGAATTTCTTCCATAGGAGGGGTGGGGGTGGGGGAGGGAAAATCATTTTTGTTTTCTTTTTTCCAAATTTCCATGAATAAAATATAGGTTAATGATCAAATACACATCCACAAAAAGTGATGAACGATATTTGGACTGGAGACTACACTAAGATATACACATCCACAAATTTACACGAAGAGATGCACATCCACATGCCAAACCAAATTTACACCTGTCTCTACATATATATTTGTCAAGTTTTTTTTTTTTTGCAATAAAAGGTGATGAAGCTTGACCATTAATTAAATAATATTGGAGTAAATTACATAATTGGTTCTTTATAACAGAGGGTTCCCTATTTAGTCCTCTATTATCAAATATTACCCCAGTAGTCCTTCTTTTGTGGGTATCTTTCCACAAATAGTCCTTTTTTGATCTTCTATCATGTTGGTGTTAATTTGAGGACTAAAAGTGTAATTTTGCAATGATAATATATCTTTTTTATCATACACAATTCCAAAGGTTGTTCCGTTTCCGTCGTTTGTGAATTACAGTCGCTTTCTACTACAATCATAGTCTACAAATGTGGTCTTTCGTTGGAATCCTAGCCCACAATCATATTCATTATTTTGTGTTATCCACTTAACCAATATCAGAACATGTCACTAGACATAATGTTGATGTCAAATTATACTTTTAGCCTTTAAATTAATACCAGCATGGCAGAAGATCAAAAAAAGAACCATTTGTGGAAAGACACCTTTAAAAAAAACTACGGGGGTAATATTTGATAATAGATGACTAAATATGGAAACCCTCCTGTTATAAAGGACTAATTATGGAATTTACTCATAATATTGATATTAGATATTGATACAAAAAGTATTTTATTAGATTTGTCTTGTATAATATTTTAAAATATTGCTTCATCTGATCATTGTACTTTTAAATTTTTATTTAATTATATGTCAAATATTAAAAATGATTGTCTGAAAAAAGTCAAAACTGAAAAAATAATTAAGGATGTCCGTTGATCACCAAATCACCATAAAACAGTGATAATTAGAATCTTGGGCTTAACTTGGACCACTTTTTGCCAAGAAATTAAAATGCCACTAACTTCGAGTATTTATTTTTGTCAAAAACTAACTCCTACCAATCCCTACCAATCAAATTTGGTTAACATCTAAAGGAGTTCAAAAACACCACTAAGCTATTTTATTTTTTTTAAAAAAATGCAACTTTGCTTATAATACTCCCTATCGTTTAATTTTTTTTATAGGGTCTCCTTTCCTTTTTTCAAAATTTATGTACGGGTTATTTTAATTGTTCATTACTTTTTTTATGTTGTTAA